AATTTGAGTGAAGTCTGTGTCACTACAGGCCCAGGACTGTACAGCGCAGTGGACGCTTACGGCTGGCCCCCGGAGCCATTCACTTGATTTGATATTTGTTTGTTTATTTGGTGCAATGTCTATTTTCTGTCTTGTCCGCAGGTTTATCTTGTAGATTATTGTTTTACGTGTAGTGCGGTCCTCCTGCACTTACTACTATGAGGTTGGGCAGGAGACTCTAATACTTGTCACATACACGCTTGGAATCAAAACCAAGGCACTTGACTCCCTGACAGCCCACTCGATCCTCTATCTTGACCCAAATCAAAAAGTTCTACAGCAATTTTAACATAGATCATGTTTTATTTCCAATCATAATTATTTCACCATGAATATTTTACTATTCATCAACAATCTTTTATGTAAACAATTGATTGAACTAAGTCAAAGTTTGGACAAAATCTCACGATGTTATGTAAAGTGAGATGACCAGTAATTTGGTTAAAGGAACAATACCCACATCTAAATGACAACAGGACTCAAATATAGATGTCTGGCTCAATTGGGGGTTATAACGATAAGAGGATACTTGTCAAAACATTGTGCTTTAAAAATAAACCAGTGATTGTTTCCCATAAAAACTGTGTTCTGTTACTAATATTGCCCTTTAAATGTTACATAAACTATTGATTAGAGACATTACTCAACTCTTGATGCCATCGGCTGTCTCAACTGTAATTATATTTTCACGTGTACATTGTCTGCTTATTTCTAAAATATACATTTCAGAGACAACTATAACACACTCACTGTAATTATATTCTCACTTGTGTAGTTGATTGAACATTGATTATTTATTTCTAAAATGTAAATACATGTATTTATATCTGACAGGGAGAGGTGTTTGATATTAGGCTATGTCAGTTCTCCAATCCCTATTCTGATACAAATCTGAATAAAAATATTGTTTATAAAAAAAATCAAAACAAAAAAAAACGGTTCAACCATTTAATGATTTAATTTAAAAATGGAGAAGCGAGGCTAAGCTACGAACAACCAGTACAGTGGTTACAATCAATGCACAACACATCGTCAACCCTTCAAAGGCTAATACCTTCGTTCAGAATGAAATTTGAATGAAATTTTCAATATACAATTATTCATTTTGCATTATCTATTTTTAAACTGTTATAGCAAGAATGACTAGCTCTTTATCTAAATCTTACATAATGTATTTTTAAGTGCTAAAGAGTATTCTTTGTTCTACCATACAACATACGCCCACGTCACGTTTTTACTGAGTATTCTTTATAATAAAAATTTTTATGTCAGAATTAAAAAGTCACCTTCATGTCCTCTCTCTACGTGCAGATGATATTTCACCAAAACAATATTACTGTCATATTTCATTTAAACTGACAGCTTTGTTTTTATTAAAGTAGTTTTATTCTATTACAGTTTTCCTTGATGATCGCAATCCCAAATACGTAAATATCAGAAAATATACTGAATATGTTTTCGAAAACATTTATTTATTTCTTAAGACAAAAGTCTTAGTCTTTTAGATTATTATTCTCAGTTTCTGCCCAGTTGTGATCGGTTTTGTCATTTTCAGAAGAAGTGCTGGTCAATTCATAGGATAAATTCTACATATCTTTTTCAAATGAAATGAAATGAAATGAAATGGGGTTTAACGTCCTACTGTTCTGTTCCTATGCTGGGCTAATAAAGACGGGCATACTCCATACAGTGTGCTATGAGGGAAATATTTCCCGGGCAGCGGCACTATCGCCTACTCTTATATCGAATTCCAACTGCCAAGGGATCTTTTACGTGCATTCCAATGTATACACAGGACCTCGTTTTTTTTGTCTCATCCGAAGAACTAGACCATTGTCCTTGTCAGGTCCTCTGTCCTGCATCACTGACAATGGGGAACCACGCCAGAAAATCTGGATGAACTTTCTCAGCCAATGCAGGGGTCGAACACCCGACCTCCAGGCTAGCGAGCCAGCGTATCTTTTTCAAACAATATAAGTTTTCAACTGTTTATAGGAACCTTTTTGCTCTATACCAATTTTTACCAATATTTTAATTGTTTTTACACATAATAACTACATTTATTGAGTTTTAAGTTTATATTTGACATTCTAATTTCATGGCATATAAATTGACTGACATGTAATAAGTTCTCTAGCTTATCTTAACTAAAATATAGCCCTTTATAAAACTTTTATTGTTTTAATGTATCAAATATTTCAATAAGAAACTATGTGCAAAGTTTTAATTTGTGTTTCTTGAGCAAAGATATTTCTCATAAACAGTGATTGAAGGTGAAGCAAATTCTTAACGTAAGTCTGAGAATACTTTGTGAACTGGGACTTCAGTTAAGAATTTACTCAACTTTTAATCTCTGTTTATGAGAAATATCTTTGATCCAGGAACTCAAAACTTTGCATATAGTTTCGTGTTAATGTATTTGATACATTAAAACAACAAAAAGGGGCTATATTTTAGTTAAAATAAGGCGAACAATTTTCAGTAAACTCTTAACTTAAGTCTGTGAACTGGGACCCTGGTCTTCATATACAGCTAAGGAAACACCAAATAGATTTTCTGTTCTGTAAAAATTGCCCTTCTTATATCTTCGTGAAACAGACTTATTCAAAAAAGTTATTGTGTCCCAAAGAGTGTGACAGACAGACAGACAGACAGACAGACAGATCCACTTTAATAGTCCCCTACTTTCTTTAAAAGGCAGAGGACAAAAAAACAAAAGTGCTTGGTTGTGCTGTTCAAAAGCTTTTAGCTCCAAATTTCTAAGTTTAGAAATTTTGAACAAAACTCATGTGATTCAAGTGATTTTTATTTATTAAGATCCCGAAAAACAAGAAAAGGTAACAGAGAATACTTTCTTTCTCCTTGCGTTCAATTGAAGGTGACACTTTTGACTTTGTAAAAACCCTCAAAATAATTGGAGTGTCAAATTACTACACAGGTTAATATATTGAGACAATTATGTTATAAAAATCTTCACATATATGAGATCTGATCTACATGTATGTACACTTATGGTCTTTTGACGTTTTTATCTGACTAAATCTGCTTTGATCTAGGTTTAAAGTCACTGATCGTCACAGAGATTTTCTGACAATATAAAGTTTTCCACAGTTTAATGTACTAAAATTGATTATTTAACCTTTAATTAAGAAAAGAAATGAAAATGAAAATTTCATTTGTAGATAATTTCAATTGTATTGAAAATAGATCCACCCAAATATTTTAGTCAACACTTATAGGTGGTGCTAGATTGTTTATATTGTCCGCAGTTGATGCCAAATGTTGTGAATTAAAACCATTTTTGGAACTTTTAACAATATTGTAGTTTGCAAGAGATTAAAAACTAGCAGCTTTAATAAATCGGCTAATATTTTGGGGGAGGGAGAGATGCTTAAGTTAAAGTTAACATTTCATATTTTTAAGTTATTTTTTTAAAATGTATTAAAATAAAGCCCTAAAATAGATGACATCTATAAACAGTCCTACCTTATTAAAGAATAATCCTATTAATCCTATAATTCACTATTGCCAGTTGAGAAATTGGCAAAAATATCATTTTCAACTTCAAATTCAAACGTTTGAAGATAGCTATTCCATGGTGGGGAATAGGAAAACAAGGGAGGTAATTGGGAGGTAATTGTGTTATTATTTCCGGTGTGAAGATGTTTAAGTGTGAGAACGATAACCTATGATCGTATAATAGTGAGTTGACAACTTTTGAGCAAAAGACATAGAAATAATTATGTTTTGACTTTCTTAGAAAATATGAAATTATAACTTTAAGCTGGTTTAAAAATAATGATTATTAAGCTAGCTTAACTTTGTCAACCGAAGGAATTAACCCAGCTTATAAACCCCAGTTCACTATATATCTGTCTTTCAGAAAACTTTTTTTTAAGCGGGCATACATAAATTGACCATCTTCCAAAAATACTGTTATTTGTATCTAAATTTCTTAATAAGATGTCATTAATAAGGGTTCTGTCACGGCTATCATTCAAAATATCTTATCTTTTCATTTTAATTCTACATGAAGCAGTTTGCATGAAAATAACATTAAACTCAATATGTCTGCCTCAGAGTCAAATAGAGAGAGAAATGGGGTTTACATTTGACCAATTTTATTTCATTAATTTGCTTGCACGTAGGGGTCTTTAGCAGTTGGAGGAAACCGGAGAAAACACACAAGGTTGGACAGGCGACCCTACTCCTTGTCACGTACAACCTGAGGAATCGAAACCACGCCAGTTGACTCAATGACAGATCATGATGCAACTTGCACACGCTAACCATTCGGTCATCCAAACCCTCTATGCCTCAAATAAATCAAAAAACATAACGTGCATATATATAGCCTGTACAACACCCTTAAATATCAATCAAATTGATAAGAATGCATATAGCAATTGTTGAAAATATGTATGATAGCAATATAAATGATTTGATCTCTATTTATTTTTTTAATATCTGATAAACTTACACTACCCTCATTAATTCCTTATCTAACCTTTTTAAAAACAAATCACACATCATTTAAATATACTATTACAGAAGTACTAACAAAGATAATGAAGGAAATGGAGTTCAAGTTGAAGGTCCTACTTTTCTCCACTAACACATCTAATGAAAACAGGCATATACCACATGTAGAATGATATTTGGCCTTGACTCATCATGAAATTCAAACTGTCAAGGATCCTGTGTGTACCCAAAACCTCAATTTTTCATTCCTTTTTTAAATTCTCACTTAATCTACCACAATAAAGACTATACCATTTGTGTATTGGTGGGTTTTACCACCGATATATGGCCAAAATTATTTAATTGCTTGGTTTTACAATACGGACAGAAGGCGAGCCTTTGTTGCCAATTGAAAGAGTTCCCTTTTTTCATTTGTAACTGTATTTTTTTTTTAATCAACAAATAAAATATTTTTTAATTAAATTTTCTCTCTTTTCCAGGTTCCAGTAGAGCAGGTCAATGGCGATACAGCGGACCTACAGGTAAATATGTCTCATATTCAAAACCCCAATAACAGAGCTGGACAAGGGTCAGGTAGGGAACGGGGGAGAGAGAGAGAGAGAAATGGGGCTTAACGTCCACTCGACACAAACTAGGTCATTTCGGGACTAACATATGCATGCATTGGTCTTTATCAGTGGGAGGACCCGGAGAAAAACTACAAGTTTGGACAGATGAACCTACTCTTTGTCATATACAAGCGGGGAATCAAAGCCACACCACTTGACTCCATGACAGACCTTATGATCTAAAGTGCATGTGTTAGAACATTTCCGCTCCCTACCCTGTTATAAAAGAGTTGTGATAGGCATATGGTAAGTTGTATAAATAATGACCGGCAAATATTATGAAACAGAAACCCTGCTATATACATTATATATGGTACATTAGTACTTATCTCAATGTAGGCCAGCAAAGGTACATATTATATATATTATACATATCAAAGATGACATATACAAGCAATAAAATTATATAAACAAGACAAAGATAATGTCATTTTAAGCCAGATTATTCATATGTCAAATAGTAAAAAAATATTTTTTATTTTTCAATGTGCATTTTTTGGAATATATTCAAATTCTCATGGTTTAATTCATGCAAAATGTACTCAGTTTAATTATATAACATTTAATTAAGAATACAGAATCAAAGTACCAATGCCATTTCGGGACAAACATATGGTTCAACCTTATTTCAATAATTCACTTGCGCAAAAGGGTCTTTAGCAGTAGCAGGAAACTGGAGGACCCGGAGAAAACTCACAAGGTTTGACAGGCAACCCTACTCCTTGTCACATATAAGTGTGGAATTAAACAATGCTAGATAATTTCCACACAATTTGTAATAACTTTGTAAATACTGAGCAAAATTAAACCATTTTTAGACCAATATTCCTCCAGGGCCGTAACTAGCTCAGAGCAACGAGGGGGAGGGGCGGGAAGTGTTCTCAGGGGTGCTGTAAAATTTACAGACAATGTATATCTTGTTTTTATGGTCGACAATTTTTTCAATCCACATGTAGCTATAGAAATTAGAATCAATCCACATGTAGCTATAGAAATTAGAATCAATCCATATGTAGTTATAGAATCAAGTCACATTTGGCTATAGCATCAACCCATGTGTAGCTATTATAGCAAATGTAGCTAATGAATCAAATCAACCCACATTTAGCTATAGAATCAACCCACATGTAGCTATAGAATCAAATCAACCAATCAAATGGTGACTCAGTGAGTAAAAGCTGGCTAGCTAATCAGGAGTTCAATCCTGTCCCGGCATAATTTCTGTCATAGCACATTGCCCTGATTGGTGCAGTAGGCTGTTAACCCTGCTTTATTTCATTTTTAATACTAAAAACTATTTTCTATTTCATTTTATTTGTAACTTTCAGGTCCGGATAGTTGGCATGAATTATTTCCAAGTGCTTGTTCCGGGGAGGAACAGTCCCCGATTGATATACAACCAGAAATGACCATGTTTGATCCAGATCTAAAAGATTTTGCCATCTGGTATGATCCTCCGAAACCGGGATCACGGATGTATGTTAAAAATAACGGACATGCTAGTAAGTTAATATACAATCTGTATTTCACACTTCTAACATTTTATAAAGATCAATATCTGAATAATCTTTATTAATCAATATATTACTAATCTTTATCAATCAATATATTAACAATATCTGTCAATCAATATCTGAATAATATTTATCAATCAATATCTTAATCATTTTTATCAATCAATATCAAGATAATCTTTATCCATCAATATCTGAATAATCTTTATCAATCAATAAATTTGTATTTATCAATCAATATCATGATAATCTTTATCCATTGGGCAAGCTGACAACCTGGCCAGTCCGCCACTGATGTTTATCAATGATACAATATATCTCTGATCTTTCAATTTGGATGGAAAAGACGAACTACAAACTCTGCAGTTATCTCCCTTTAATTGATAAGTTTGTTATATCTAGCATAAAATAACAAATACAAACTTGTTTGGTCTTTATTCATGTAAAATCAAAGAAAAGTGTTTTTTTCAGGACAGAAAATATTGTACTGTGGCTACTGCAGAATTTTTGTTCTGAGGCCATTGTAGAATCTTTGTTCTAAGACTTTATATAGTCACCATTCATTTTAATCATGAATTTATACAATTTGGTTTTTTTTATATAATTTTAGTTCAAGTTGATACTGTTGGTGACTTCTACGTAACAAATGGTGGATTAAATAACGTCTATAAAACATCCCAGTTTCATTTTCACTGGGGTAGTCAGGATCATGTCGGTTCTGAACATTTATTAGATAGTGTTGCATACCCTATAGAGGTAAATATTAAGATGGGTTTTTTTTTTGTTTTTATTCAATTTTATTGGAATATGGTGAAAATATTTACTAGGGTTGGCAGGCAACCCTTCTCCTTGTTATATACATGTATGCAATCAAACCCACTTAGCTCAATCACAGAATTCATGATTCAGTCCACCTGAAAACCCCCACAGCCCCAACCCTTAGGCAATGGAATATGAGAGAGAGAGAGAGAAATGGGGTTTAACAGCCACTCGACACAAACTAGGTCATTTCGGGACTGAAATATGGTTTAATTTTTATTTCAAAAATTCGCTTGTGCGTAAGGGTCTTTAGCAGAGGTAGGAAACCGGAGGACCCGGAGAAAACCTACGAGGGTGGACAGGCGAAGGATGTATAGAAAAGTAGGGTTTTGATCCCCACCTCATTTCATTTTTTTCTGTCTTTGTTTTCCTGAAGCGTAAGTTTTTATTTCTACTTCAACTGTTTTATTATAGATGCATATCGTCAACTACAACAGCGATAGATTTAATGATATTGCGGAGGCAGTGGTAGAAAAGGGTGGTCTCGCTGTTTTAGGTGTTTTATTTGAGGTAAGTTTATGCAGCTGTATGAAACTCTTGCCAATAAAGTCAGACATATACACAGGAATCAGAATCAGTGGATCCCACCCAGAAAACATATTCTATCAGCTTATTAACCATTACTACCCTAGCCTATAGCCTACTAGGTTTGCTTATTCCTTTCAGGCTAATCAAAATAGTCAATATAGTTGTTATTACCTCATAGTTCTATTAAAGGAGCTAAATCTCTATTCTTTGTCACCTTGAAATGGACACAAATGGGCCACAACGCATATAATAATGTAATATGATTGTAAACTAATTAACATTCAATCATTTCTGTTTTTACTGTAATTTCTAATTAGCTATAATATGTTTGGCAAAATATGCGAAGAGTCTCAACTGAGTAGCATTCTTTGGCATCTGGTTATTCCAGTCTACATCGGTAGTATTCTCCCATGGGATGTGTTTAGCCTCGTTCATTGAATCGCGTCATTACAAATTGTGCTCATAAGACAAAAAATATGACATCCTCCCCGTGTACAGTTGTTAGAATGCACGTAAATTAACCTATCGTAGTTTGAAGTTTGATGTAGAGAAATCAGAAACACGACTGTTGAGGTGATATTTCTTTCACACCACACAACAAGGGCATTTCATATCATTTAAATCACTCAAACAAGCGCCAAAAAAATGATTTGTTTGGATCATTAAGCAGAGATTTTTATTACAATCAAATGAAAGTGTTCTTTTTTTCCCTGAAAGGGGGAGAGAGAGGGAAATGGGGTTTAACGTCCACTCGACACATACTAGGTCATTTTGGGACTAACGTATGGTTTAATTTTATTTCAATAATTCGCTTGTGCGTAGGGTTCTTTAGCAGTGGGAGGAAACTGGAGGACCTGAAGAAAGCTCACGAGGTTGGACAGGCGACTCTACTCCTTGTCATGTACAACCGGGGAATCGAAACCATGCCAGTTGACTCAATGACAGACTCCCTGGAAAGAGATGTTTGATATTCAACAATCATTTGTATTAAAATGAATATTTATAATTTACTTCAGGTACAAGAAGAGGTAAATCCAGCATTTGAACCAATTATAGCCGCATTACAACAAGTTAAAGATCCAGGTATTGATCGACAAGTTATTAAAGTTTTTCAGTACATCATGTACTTATACTTATGACCACTCTTCGGAGGTCTAAGGAGACCTGGGACTTTATTCACAGAAACGTAAACTAAAGTATTTGAAGAATGCTGGCTTTTCATTGGCTCAGAGCTCAAATTTGTACAAGAATTACCGGTATAATCCCAAACCAATGAAAAGGCAGGATCCTTAAAATATTTTAGTTTAAGTTTTTGTGAATTAGGCCCAGTGCTTAAAGGGTTAAGGAATCTACAAGATGTAGAGATGAACATTCGTACATGGGTGCATCTGTGCCTGCCTCTCAATATTTCAAGCTCTGTACCGAGCACACTTTTCAATGCTAGCAGAATTACAGATGTTTGATTTTGAACATCCACATCCCAAAAATGAAAAAAATGAGCAATGAAAGGAACAATCAAAAATGAAAAAAATTGATCAGGCTCTGTGTAACCATACAGTCCACCACACCGGCAGTGGGACTAAGAAACAGATGTTTGATTTCGAACATCCACACCCAAAAACAAAAAAAAAAGAGCAATCAAAAATAAAAAACATCGATCAGGACGGTAAAGGTAAATTGCTGGGAAAGGCTCTCTACAGTCTAAACCAGCAGTGGGATCATACCAGAAATTTAACCAAAACATTAAATATTTGTTTTCTATATTTTATTATTCATAGAGGAAGGCAATTCACTGGAGATTGAACCACTGTCATTACGTAGTTTATTACCAAATGATATCAGTAAATATTATCGTTATAACGGATCACTAACGACACCTGGGTGTTTTGAAACAGTTACATGGACCGTCTTCCACGAAAAACAGAAAATATCTTTTGGACAGGTAAGTAAAATGTTGTAATTTCAAAAACTTTCTGATTACGTCTCTTTCCTGCTCTTATGGCTAAAACAACAATATCGATGAAGTCAATGCAGGAGAGACAGAAAGCGTAGTTTTAATATAGATGTTAATAACTTTCAACGCAAACAGTTTGAAAACAGCCGAGTGGTCTAACAAGACAGAGAGAGAAATGGGGTTTAACATCCAATCAATACAAACTAGGTCAATACAGGACTAACATATGGTTCAATTTTAGGCGTAGGCATCTTTAGCAGTGGAAGGATACTGGAGGACTCGGAGAAAGCCCACAAGGTTTGACAGACGACCCTACTCCATGTCCACTCAACACAAGCTAGGTCAATTCGGGACTTACATATGGTTCAATTTTAGGCGTAGGCATCTTTAGCAGTGGAAGGATACTGGAGGACTCGGAGAAAGCCCAGAAGGTTCGGCATACGACCCTACTCCATGTCACATACAAGCGGGGAATCTCTTTAGATACAAGGTCTATCATTGAGTCAAGGAGCCACGGTCGCTAATTAAAGTAAGACGCTGGCATGCTAGCCTGCCCGGTGTTGGCCGAGAAAGTTCATCAGGTTTTCTGGAGTGGTTTCCCCTTGTCAGTGGTGCAACATGGAGGGCATGACAAAACGAGGTCCAGTAAACACGTTGGCGTGTACTTAAAAGATCCCTTGGCAGTTGGAATTTGCTTTTCAAGCAAAATTTCCCTCATAGCACACTGTATTGCGTAAGCCTGTCTTCATTAGTGCAGTTTGAGCAGAACAGTAGGACGTTAAACCCCTTTTCATTGCATCTTCAATCCCAGGCTTTTACATGCCCATAAGTAGCATCATGGGTTTTCTCTGGGTCTTGCGGTTTCCTCACACTGCCGAAGACTACGATTTGCAAATGAATTATTGAAACAAAGAAATACCATATTACTCTCCCTCTTGATGAAAATGGCCACCCCTTTATTGTAATTAAGTTACACAATTACTAACTCTTCAATTTGTTGATTTTTCATTTCAGTTGTTGAAGTTCAGAAGAGTTCTACAACACAGACATCATAAACACCATAAAAAACATCATAAACGGTCTATGAGGCGTCGAGTAGAACGACAGGCAGAAGAAAACGCAGAGGCAGTACTTAATGAAATGGGAATCAAACACGACAATGTTCAAAAAGGCGAATTAATGTCATCACTAGTCAACCAAAAGAATCAGGAAGCTACCAGTACTGACGTGACATCCAGTCACATGACCAATACCCATGGCAGTAAAAGTGACGCCACTGTCTTGGCACTGAAAAGTTCTGATGCTACACAAGATCAACCGACAGCCATGGCACAGACTGACGTCACACACGAGGAAACAAAGGATGTTATTAGCGATCCTGATATGACAAAAGTAAGCGTTGATGAGGAAATTGCCAAACAAGCTGAAGAAAATATGAAAGAGTATACAGAAACTTTACTGGAAACCCCGACCGACACCCACAGCACTGCCGAAGAACCTACTGTTGTCACTAACCTAGATAGTCAGCCAAAGGAAGAAACGGGAGAAGAATGGGTTCAAGAAAATCTTGTTGATAATTTCCGACCCCCACAACCGCTAAACAATCGTATGGTTCATCGCAGTTTTAAGCTAAAAGACATTTACGAGGCGAAACCAAAATATGAGGTAGTCAATGAGCCTCAACCTCCAAAACAAAACGCAATAGGTGAAGTTTATTCCAAGAAAAACCCTGGAAATTCTGGTCATCAAGCTCAGTTTACGTTTTATTCTCTAATTCTTGTGTTCATCATTTCCTTTTTATAATAAATAAATAAACAAACACACTTCATCTTCATCGGCAATAATATTAACAAACAAACAAACAGACAAACAAATATGGAAGACGTAAACAGGTACTAGCTAGGGTATCACTTTCATTGGTTGGAATAATGATATTAGATTTCACGTCATCTCCAAAATGAAGTATTTAAAAGAACACAGCCATCTTGAATTGGGTGAAAAACAGTTACTAGCTACAATAGCACTTTGCTTGGCCAAAATATAATGATGTAAATTTCACTCGTCATCTCCGAAATAAAGTATTTAAAAGAACACAACCATCTTGGATTGAGTGAAAATGAGAGTATCATTTTGATTGGCTAAAATATAATGATATTAGATTTCATTTCATCTGCGAAATGAAGTAGTTGAAAGACACAGTCATCTTGAATAATGTGAAAATTGAAAGGATCCTTTTGATTGGTAATATATTGATATTAGATTTTACTTCATCTACGAAATAAAGTATTTGAAAAAAGCACAACCATCATTTTGATTGGCTGAAATACAACAATATTAGATGGACAAATGATATTTAAAGATACATTATGGGAGATTAGATAAAGAGCTGGCAGTTCTCACTATAATAGTTAAAAACTAGATAATGTAAAGGGAATTTACTGAAAATTTCAGTAAAATTGATCCACTCTGAACCAAGATTTTAGCGATTGAATTTTCAGCCTTGCCTCGATCATCATTACTAAAGTCGGTACGATAAAAAACATAGTCTCCATTATCCATATCATGATTAAATCAAGAATGAAAGTGGAGCAGCAAATGGTATCTTAATCCAGTAAACATTGCAGGCTAGCGTTGACATTGAGAGTTGATTATGGTCTGGATAAGTTAATTAATGTCTAATTAATAATTTAGATAACATTTAAGGCCTAAAGAAAGACCTGCAATAGGCAGATTTAGATCTTGCATAATGTATGTTTAACCTATTGGCCCTTACTTATTTCTTATACTGGTATTTTATTTGTCTATTTGTCTTTTTCTATGCACCTCTTCTCAACTTTTTATCATTTATTTTTGTCAAAAACTTTTAAAGTTTACAATTGTCTTTCATTCAATACATACTCCAGTTTTTTTTTAGAGAATCTAACATATCTAGATCTGATAAAATGCATTTCAAATTCAAATTTCACCCACCGATATTTGTTTTAATTACTATTATTCTATTAAAATGTACAAAAATTTAAATAATAAATGTAGTTTAATATTGTATAAAGCATAATAAAATATTATAGAACTAATCACATTTCTTTTATTTATTAATAAAAGCACAAGTTATGTTGTTATGGTGCCCAAAAATGTAATAATATGTAATATTTGGTGAGCAAGTGTTCGGGGAAGAAGGGGACAGTGGTCTGACTCCCTTCAATTATTGGCATGGCAGATGAAGTACCTTCCTTAATAAAACTTGGGGGCTAGGTAATTCATGCTATTTAGGTGTAGTCGAAGCCAAGATGATTTTGATTGGAAAAATCAAGAATTCAGCCCAACAGTTTTAGAAGAAGAGTAAACAGAAGAGATAATTATTAGTTATTCCTGCTATCAAATTTCAACAGACGAAACAATCTTTTCACTTTGCAGCACCTTTTCTCTGGAATTCTCTATGCTTAGACATCAAAGAATCAAAAATAGCACTAAAAGAATCCACATAAACTTTAAATCACATTAAGAACTTTATCGAGACAGAGAGAGAGAGAGAGAAATGGGGTTTAACATCCACTCGACACAAACTAGGTTATTTCGGGACTAACACATGGTTCAATTTTATTTCAATAATTCGCTTGTGCGTAGGAATCTTTTAGCAGTGGGAGGACCCGGAGAAAACCCACGAGGTTGGACAGGCGACAATACTCCTTGTCACGTACAACCGGCGAATCGAAATCATGTCAATTGACTCAATGACAGACCTTATGATACAAAGTGCACGTGCTAACCATTCGGCCATCCAACCCCCCCCTGAACTTTATCGAAGTATTGTTTTCACTATACAAATTCTGTGTTGATTGATTGATTGATTGATAATATCTGGGCAATTTCTCACATTGCATGCATACCCATATCAAATTTGGATTGGAACTATCAAGAATACTTTTTGGCTGACAGCAGCATTCGGAGAACAGTAAGCATAAGCAATAATATCCGGAAATTTCTCACATTGCATGCATAATATTTGTCTGTCTGTTCAGGGTTGGCGGCTACACTAGGTCTGCTCCGAGTCTGAAATTTGGGGTATAGGGGTAGCTCAGACCGGGGAGTAACATAGGCCAGGTGGCGTTAGTCTACCACTTCCGGTTTCGGGGTTATGACCCCCGAGCGAAGCCGGGCATTCTTCTAGTATAAAATAAAACTACTGTAAGTAACATTTCAAAATGACTGATGATGATGATGATAATAATAATAATAGTTTATTCACAACTACATGTACAAGTATAGTCATGGAAGTTACTACAAACATTTCACATTGTGATGCATTACAATATCTGATAAGATATCTTACATAATATTGTAACATGTTTAAGGGTGAATCTTGCGTTTTGATTAGTCAATTAGACACTGTCAATTTGACAATAACACCCCTCTTCCTTTAGTAATTTCTTTTAAAATGCTAAAAAAGCATGTTACAATGCGCCTTGGGTCCTAATGATCTCAGAAAATGTCTATTGGACAATAACACCCCTCTAAATGCAAAACAGGAAGTGGTATCTCCTAAACAATAATCCACATCCACTGAATAAACACAATAACAAGTTTGTAGACTGGGAATGGAAATTGAATGAAATGGAGTTTAACGAATGGGTGTTAAAAATAGCAATATAAAAAACTGATAAAAGACAATTTATGCTGGACATAATGACAAACACCAGACGGATTGTGCCTGGCAAAGCCTGAATTTGTGTCTGACATTATTGTCTGTGACAAGTGCCTTATTTCTAATACTTTTCTTGATTACAAGCTTAAATATCATAACACTATAGGCTATATTTATTAAAAGTGCAATTCAATTCACTTCAGAACAAAGAGCAAAAAAAGAAATCTGAAATACAATTAATTGTAGTTGTCTCCCTTTACACATTTCGCATCTTGATATCCCTACCTAATTCATATAGTCACATCTCAAAAATATTGTGTTCTTTTTAGTAAATATAAATTTGACCCATTAGCCCTTGGACTGTCCAGTTTAATTTGCCAAGTTTTTGTGCGTTATCAAAAATGACCGACTGAAAATTTGAAAGTGGAAGCCCTGCCCAGTTCCACCCGTAACCAGGGCTTAGATATCGCCCCAAATTGCCTGAGTCATGTGAATAGCTTTAGCACCCTGCAGATCCGCCCATTACCAGGGCTAATATAGATTGTCACAAACTTCCCCCAAGAACCGTAACAGTACTTTTTACTATTAAAACAAGCCAATGTATAGATAATAAATAATAATGTGAACATTTGTATAGCACTATTCCACACTGACTCTATGCTCATAGCGCTAGTCGAGTTGAGTATTCTACAATTCTAGCAACATAGCGTCGGAACAGATAAGTCTTCAGTGATGATTTGAAAGTTGATAGGGTTGGGCATTGTTTCAAATGAGTAGGTAGATTATTCCAATGTGAAGCTGCCAGATATGAAAATGATTTTGCTCCAAAAGTTTTTAAATTGTACATTGGTAACTGTAACAGAAAGTTATTTTTTTTATCTTAGGTGCCTAGAGGGTAAGTGTTCCTGGACAAGTTCCTGGAGGTACACAGATGACACTAGATGACACTCATCAATTACTGTATATAATATAAAGAATCAAGAAATCAAATTACTTGTCACTCTGGTGAACCTGAGCAGAAACTGCTCATCATCAAATTCAGTAACAACATTTATTTACCTAATATACGTCTACTACGGTCTACACAAGATTGGATATTCTAGCTCAATTATAAGCTAGGTTATTGTGTCTTGACCATCTTGACTAATCAAGTTAATTAACTCCGCTTAACCTAAGCAGAAAATACTCATCATCTAACTCAATAAAGACATTCAATTGAACATCTACAACAAATTTAACATTCCATAACCCAATTTGAAGCAGAGATATTGTGTCCAAAAATTGATGACATATTTATAAATAATTAAATACTGTTGCTTCCAGCAACTGCGGGATATAGAAACCAATTCACAAAAAACTTTGACCAAATGCGATGCTATCTTTTAATTCTTGATTTCCTCTGTTATCATATAACTGGGCCGTCACCCGGTTATCATTTAACTGGGGCGTCATAGATCCCATAGAGACACAAAAACCAGGGCATCATTATTGTCGGCTTCAGCAGTTGTGCTCCAGCCTACTCTTATATCATATTTCAACTGTAAAGGGATCTTTAACGTGCATGCCAATGTGTACACAGGACCTCAGTTTTTTGTCTCATCCTAATGACTAGACACTTTTCTATGCTGTGTGTATTGTTCATCTTAACTGTACAATGTAGCTTTCTTAAGTGTTATCTGTCTTGAGCTGGTCTTGATCAATGGCATACATAGAGCTTCTGCCACCTGGGGCAGTCCAGTTTGGCACCCCCAACACTCTCCTTACTTATAAACTTGTAACGGTAAATCTCTTTGATCTTTGCGGGTATATTCTATGCCGGAATAAATTGCGGTCTGAAAGTCGGGTGTAGTTTTGCATATATACAGGGGAATTTGGGGTTATTCTTCTGAAAGTTTTTCTTTAAACCTGTAACAGGTTATTCTTCCAGGGCAGGGTTTTTTTTTTCCATAAGAAAACATGATCTAAGGTTTTTATGGGAATTCTGGGATATTCTCATTTTGCATACATGTCTCGTGCTTTTAGTCTTTCTTTCCCCAGCATAACCTCAGTCTCGTGCTTTATCCTCCACATAAAACACAATACAATACATGTCAAACAGTAAGCTGTCTCATGTATCAATTATCCTTCAACTAATATTCAAACAACTTGTGCTTTATCTACACTGACTGAAAGTGACACTAAAAGCTGGTCATCAGGAGTGACACCATACTCCCCGCAGTGTTTCGTTTGATTAGAGCTAATCCCACTAAACACTGCTTTAATGGAAGCAAATTTCTGTTCCAAATTATGACTGGTCAATAGTCCGATTAACAACCAATCTAGCTAACTGAATAACAATGTGATTACGCTTTAAACATAGCTCCACATTGGACCAAATATAATTACGTCATGACTCAAGATTTTATTATGCCCAATTAACCAGTGCATAGCAGAATATTGCAGAAAAACTAATTGTGTGACAAACAAGGCTATCAACTTTATACAATGAAAACAACACTGTATGGAGACAAACAAGGCTTTCACCGTTTTTAATACCTTAAATCACTGTCCAAAGTTTTAACGAAGACCCAAGATTAAACGAAGGGCTGTCATGTTGCTGTACTTGGGATAGATTTGATTGAACGGGAAGAATACACACACTCCCTCAAAAGTTCAAGTATCAGACGCCAATCCAGCAATATGGAGTATGCTACAGGAATATGGAGTGACACATGCCCTACCTTTTAATTCTGAAATAACTTATTCTTTATCTACATTGACCAAATGTGACGCTAAAAGCTGACACGTGCCCTACCTTTTGATTCTCGCTGTTATCTGTTATCATATTACAGAGGGGGCTATAGGGGGTGACCAAAGTTGCATCTCCCAAAAATTGTCACACAGGATGGACTTTACATCCTATTCCTCCACCCTAGTTACATTACTACTTAAGATTTCACAGCAGTGTTTGGACAATATTTTACATTTTTTTCTCTTTAAAGGCAGTTTATCTTATCTGTATATTAGCGTGCAGTTTTCTTGCACTGTTTATTAACATAACTACTTCTTCAAATGTAATAATTCATTTTTTTTCCTGGCTTTCTGTTTTCATGATTTAAGTCCCATGGTACTAGCCTATCCCTTTTTACGTCTGCTCTCTATAATTGAAAAACAAGAAATGTGGAAACTACGTATTACAGTCCACTTAACAAAGTTTGATTGAGCAGCGAAGTGACAGTGTTTATATTTCCTATCATTATCTCCGCAGTTGATCATTACACTCCCCTTTCAAAAAGAAACATTAACGAGACAGATGCGAAGGTTTCTGATAAATTTGTTTCCCA